TTGCTGTGGTGACATTTGCTGCGGGTTTTCTGATCGTTTTAACAAGGCCCGTCCTAACATTTTACAATGAACCCATAAGCCCTACAAAGCCTATGTGCTCACAGCCTTGGGCCCCTGAAGCAACCCTTCTAAGCCCCCGGAAATTTAAAAGGAAAGGCTTTTTTGGCACCCATCTCCTGGGATCATTCTCACAAACCCGGGAGGCGCCAGCGGCAGAGGCTGTGTCTGGCACCATACGACACTCGAAAGGCCATTCTGCATGCTCGTCTAATTTGCGGTGTATGTGAAGTGGGCTTATACAGAATATAAACCAAGGTGGTGGGGCTAGGTCTGCAAGTAACCTTAGGTCACGGCGTGGTCCCGAAGCTACTCTGTGATGGTGTTGAAGCTACCAGTTCCTGGCCTCTGTTCACATCGTTCCTTCTAGAGCTTCCGTGTCGTGTCCAGTGTCTCTACTTCAGTTGACTCTTGATGGCTGGTGGAATCACGGACGGATCCACAAGCATGGAAGTTCGAGGCTTCTTGGAGAAGCTACAGCTCATCTGCCTCCTACCTTGTCTATAAGTGCCAGAAGCGCCCGCCCGCAGGAGTTAAGATCCCACTCCCATGGAATCCACAAGCATGGAAGTTGGAGGCTTGGAAAAGTTACCTCTACCTGCAATCTTGTCTCTAAGTGCCAGAACCAATTCCTCCCAAGCGCCGGACGTCCGCCCGCATGAGTTAAGATCCCGCTCCCATGGCAAGGCCTTTTGACAGGCACAGGGCACGTTAGCTTTGAAAGTCTTCTGCTTGGGTGAGACATGGTGAGACATAGTTGCATATTGCAGGCCGGCTACCAACTAATTAAGCATAGGCATGGAGGAGCATCCCCCAGAGGCTTGGGAGATTCCTTGGGGCGGGTTTGTTCGGAGCCCTTGCACGATGCGAAGCGAGCCGGGAGACCGCATCCCCGAGGGAAAAGCAAATGTCCCACCCACACCCCGAATTTTCGGGGCTGCGGTCTCCCCTTGTGTTTTCTTCTCAACAGCTTCGGGCTCCGAAGCCAAACCCACCAAGAGGCACGTCTGTGCCACTTTGCGGCTTCTGTTCTGCCAGGCCCTCCGTGGCCTCTGCCGGGGGCCACTTCTTCGATCGGAGTGTAGCCTGAGTCCTAAACCCTAAAATCCTAAACAACTAAACCCTAAACTGAAGAGCCTTCAGCTCCCGGGCAGATGCTTGGAAACAACACGAGGAGCGCTCTTGGGGAATCTCGAATTCTGCGCGCTTGAAGACCTCAATTCTCAAGCCTATGAACCCTATAAAACCCTGTAAACTGTAAACCCTATGAAGCCGGATAAATAAACCCGGATAAACCCTGTCAGCCCTATAAAGCCTGTAAACCCTGCAAACTGAACTCGACAGAAAATCCTAAACCCATCTAAACCCATCTAAACTGTTTTGCGGGAGACTTTCCTGGGCTGGGCGGTCCCTCCCTTCGGAGGGCCAAAGGATTGAATGTGCGAGCGCTGTGGGCATCCGCAGTGTCTTGATTTGTTGTTGGTTGGCCCTTAAAGCCCTCTAAGACATATTCACAAACTAAGATCCTCTTAAACCACGCGTTGGCAGGATAAAGTTCCCAATTGACGTCTTAGCTATAGGTGCTTCCACAGCAGGATCATGCGCTGCGGGCGGAGCCTCAGATCTTGCATCGCCCGATCCCGAAAAGCAGCGGCGACTGCCTGCATCAACGAGAAGAAATGCACATCTCTGTGGTGCATTTGTAGGGAATGAGGGAATGAAGTATGGGGGGCCCTTGCGTGAAGATGACATACTACCATGAGGGTTCCATATAGCAACCACGAAACTGATCTACCCGCCCATACCTGCATACCCAACCCTGGTTTTGGAAAGTCCTTCGGGTGTTCGCACAAACCCAGGCACGTGGATCGCAGTCCAATGGAAGTCGTAATGATGATAAGAGTGGTGATCCACTAAATGATAGTAGTCAGCATTACTATATGATTCTGACCGTGATGAATAACAACACTTATTCTCATGATAGTGCTGACAGTGCTGATGAGAATAAGCTGACATCATGTGAACAATACATACAACTGATCATTGTTGTCTCCGGCGACCCAGCAACCTGTGACTGAACCACCTAGCCAGCGAAGAATCTCAGCATTGGTGTAAGCGGAAGCACGCTTCCCTGACCTCCACGCCGGTGTCGCTGAGGGAATTCGTGTGGAGTAAGAGCATGTTGAGCAACTTGTTGTCGCAGAGGCCACGGGCCACTGCCTGCAGCGCGAGAGGGATCCCGGAGGCGCGGCAGGTATCTTCTTGACTTCTCTTGCTTGAAACTCCATGTGTCGCCGTGTAACGCAGAGCCCTGACGTCCTTCAGATTCCTTCAGCAAAGACAGCCAAGACCGACTTCTGAGGGTCGGCTACTTGTGAGGGAGCCGACTCGTGGACCCGAGGATGGCTTCTGAACTCCAAGAAGCTCCAACTGCCCTAAGCCGAAGAACGCCAGACAACACAAAGACAAAGCCCGCGCCTCTGCTCCCACATCGCTGATCCGATTTTGATCCAGAGTCAGCGTGCTCAATTGCGGCATTGCAGGTAAGGCACCAGCCAAGGCCTGCACAAGCACGCGGGAGCTGGGCAGCACTTCGCTTGCTTCAGTTCGGGAACAAAGCGTTGGCTTGCTGTGCTGAATGCTGGGGCCATTCACCCAACTTGCTGGCCTGCACAGGAGTAGCTACCCTTCGTCAACACGAATCCCTCAGAGGCTGCCAAGCGAGACATTGGCGAAAGACACAAGATTCGCGGAGCCGAGCCGAGCTGTGCATGATGCCTTTGCCCCGACTCTGTGAAGCTGCGTTGAAGTTTTCTCGCAGACATGCTATTTCGCTCGGTCGCTCGGTTCCAAACTTGGTCCCTGCCTCATGTTGCTCCAGGATTCTCTCTCAAGCCCACTGAGCCCCGCATCCCCCAGTCTCAGGACCAGGTGCATTTACGACAAGGAAATGTTGGGTACCGTTGTGAAGGATAATTAATGGCTGATGATTTGCAGTGTGCATGGCTCCATCTGCCAAAATAGAATTCCTCACGTGCTGGCACTGACTCACGAGTCCCTTTAAAATCAGCAACTGTTGAGAGTTTGACAAGGCCTCCGAAGTTTGTAGAACAAACTTGTACGCCGTTCTTTCTGGGAGATGAGCCTATATAGACCTCTTCCTGAAATCTTTAGCCCCATTGAGAAGCCGCCACAACTGAGACGGAGGATCAGCATGTCAGGCTTGTCCTGTGCGTATTGCTGCTTAGTACTGGCTGGTGCCGTGGTTGGCGCTTGAGCGTGTCGGAGTTCGGGGGCCCTGGGCTTGGTGATTTTCCTGGGCCCGGCTGCCGGGCTCAGAAACCAAAAGTCGTCAAAAGACGAAAACAGAATGACAACGCACCACCACGAGCATGAATAGGGGGCGGGCGGAACAGTGCACCACTACAGGAAGTACACGCACCATGGAGCAACCTGCCTCCACCATCCCTGACGAGGGGATACGATTTGGATACGTCTTGGAGGCCAGCAGCGTTTTCAAGTTGCCCTTGGGTCTTTGAAAAGGGAGTGAAGTGGTGTCTTGTCGTTAAGATCTGTCTACAGGGCACAGACCTAAGCCCAACCCCCTCCTGCGCTGCTTTTGCCAACAGAATGCACAGCTCCCCGACTCTTCGACCCTGGGGCCTGCCAACTCTTGAAGCCTCTGATAACCCCATGTAGAAACTGCCAGAACTGAGATGTCTGGCTGGAAGGTGCTCGGCATCGGTTTCGTGCTGGAGCGCATCATGAGTTTCGTTAGGAGTGGCGCAGGCTTGACAGTGTAGGTGTTCAAACACTGGGCTTGGTCTATCTTGCCTCGGCTCAGACAAAAGCACAACATCAAATGAGACCAAGTCCCCCGCCAGATTCGATTTGGAAGACCCGAGGTCGGTATCAATGCTACTTAACTTCAGTACTTCAGTACTGTCTATGCGGAAAGCTGATGTCTACTTCTACAGCCCGCAGGGCTTCACAAAACGCGCTCGCTTACGAAGTCTTCTGTGACATTTCCACAGCGGCCCAGCCTGGGCTCCAGAGTCTCCGATGGCGTTATTCGCCAGATTCAGCTCCTTCGCCGGGAGGGGGCTGGTAGGAATGCGGACTTGCGGCATGCAAGCTCGGCAGAAGACGCGGGCGCACGGCGATTTTGAGGCTTGCTGCTACCCTGGGCTTCAGCATTGGGGCGATTCAGACCGAAGCTTCGGGGCAGATATCTCGCACTGCACCGCCTTGAGTTTTTTTTAATGAAGTCAACAGACGTGATGACTATGCACAAGCTATGCCGCCATATCCTTCCAAGATGCCTTGCAAGCTGACCGACCGTGGTTAAGCACTATCGTTGTCGTTGTGATACACCATGCTTTGCACCGGAAACTCCTTATGGGGCCCTCTTAGCCAGAAACCCTAAACATCCCGAAGCCCTAAACCGATGAGGAAGCGCGGCTAGGCAGCCCATGAACCCACAGCTTCGACAGAGGCTCCAAGATCCCTTTCAAACTTCGGGGGGGAAGATTCCTTCAACTCGCGGTATTTAGGGTTCAGGCCTTTATAGGGTTTGGAGGAACCCTACAGCAATTTAAGGAATTGTCCTTGCTTAAGGGCTTTTGAGCTACCCTTCACATTTGATCAGTCAAACCCGAATAGCATGCCGCTCCCAAGCAGAGCTCCCCGGCGACCTTTACAAACCCCGGCGGAGACTGGCAACTGGCGTCCTCGATGTTCGGGAGAGCTTTCAGTGCATCTCCCAGGGCCTCTGCACACGAGGAAGTTTGGGGAGAGCGGGTCTTGGAAGTTGGGAGCGCCATGTCCCGAACTTTGACTCGTCACAGTCCGAGGCTCTCAGGATAACTCCGCAGGAAAGGCTTTTTTGTACGCACTTAAGACGGAACAGGCAGTGCCCCTGCGCCGAACAAATCCCAACTTGATCAACTCCAGGCCTCCGTCCCCGCATCACCAAAGCCGTTGTTGTCCAGGCTTAGGTCTCGTAGGCCCTTGTGGTCTGCGAGGCCCTCGGCGATGGCCTGCGCACAGGCAGAAGTGCACCTTCGGCCCTGAAACTTGCCATCACGTCGCCGGACGTCTAAACATATCTTCAGCTCCGAACCTTTTCCCCCTCCCAAGGCCTGGAGGCCGCTGTCGCCGATGCGATTGCCGTGGAGCCACAGCACCCGCAGCGAGGAGTGGCCACCCAGACCAGCTCCAAGGGCCTCCGCAGACGACCGAATCTATGGACTCTTTTGTCTTTTGGAAACGGTGTAGGCATCATGGCCTGGCCGGGCAAGTACCCTTATCCGGGGATTCTATAGGATAGCCAAGTTCTGTTTCCTAGGCTTAGCGGCACGTAGTTGTAGAACCCTCCCACAAAGTGGGAAAGTCCTTGCTGAAACCCCAGGCATATCCTCTTCGCAGGGTCTCCCGCACCCGACCCCCCCTCCCCCGCGGGCTCGCGTATGCAGGCCAACAAAGGGGCGTAGAGTACCGACATCTTTCTATTCGCATAATATACATATATACAGACGAAAGGAGGTTAAACGTTCATGGCCGTAAGAAACTATATGTATTGCAAGTTATGCTTGGCGCAGGACCAGTATTGGACTTGTGACAGTACTTCAATGGGCAAGATCTGATATTTTTGATCCTTAAGGGGGTTGTCGGTGCGAAGCAAGGGTGTGGCAGATAGCCTCGCCTCTTAGGGGGTTGTCGGACAAGAAAGGGTATTGCAGACATCTTGGTGTTCTAATTGTGGATCTCTTACGGGGTTGCCGATGCTGCAATCAACAGCATATCCGGAAGCCGAGTGTGGTGTAGGTATGTGAATGCGGCTTGCAGCTATCTCAAGTCTTTCCAGATGCAGTCACGTCGAACCTTAGCGTGTTCCACGTGCTGCTCAACAACAGGGGGGTGCGACAACAGCTTGACAATAGCGTGTTCCACGTGCTGCTCAACAACAGCGAGGTGTGGTGGGGTTTGGGGGGGGAAGGGGGGGGGGTGGGGGGGCTGATAATAGCGTCAACAACAGCGGGTGGGTGCGGGGGGGGGGTGGGGGCTTGATAATAGCGTGTTCCACGTGCTGCTCAACAACAGGAAGGTGGAAAGGACGTGCTTCTCGACAACAGTGGGGTGTGGGGTGGGGCGGGGGCTTGATAATAGCGTGTTCCACGTGCTGCTCAACAACAGCGTGTTCCAGAGCAACTGACCAACGTACTTTGGATGTAACATGCATTCTTGGCGCGAAGTGATCGTGCTGAGGTTTTTGGCACTTCCGGTTTGCTGACTCCATCTGCCATCTGCCAGAGACTCTCACATGCTGGTGACCTTTATAGGGCAATCTTTACTATAGATTAAGGTTTTGCTTTGGCATTGTCTAGCAGATGGACGGAGGCTCATCTCCGTGGAGCTTGGTCCGGGCTTCTCCCCGTGGCCCGCCCAAGGTCCTGATGCCTTCCTGCACGGCTCGAGCCTTTAAAGGGGGTTATGGCCTGATTGGCTAGATTTGGCCGTCCACATGTTTGCTCGCGAATGGACGCCCTGGTCTGCTGGTCTTTCATTTTCTCCAGTGACGTGTCGCAGCCTCCTTGCTGGAAATCCATGCCGATACCCTACTGCAACCTCGCCGCAGACCATGGATACCCACATGTATCCACAGGCCACCGCAACAAAAATCGCTTTTCAAAATGCCTCAAGGTGTGCGCAGCTTTTGCCAGCGGTCCCTAAGGGCTGCCATCGTTTGAAGTCTATAGACCTCTTCCTCAGCTAGCTCCATTGAGAAGCCGCCACAACCGAGATGGAGGACCAGCATGAAAGTTTCCTCCGGTGCGTTTTGCTTTTTAGTACCGGTTGGTGCTTGACTGCGTCGTAGTTTGGGCCCTGGGTTTGGCTTATCCCAGCCCGGCTGCCGGGCTCAGAAAGCAAAATCACCAGAGGACAGAAACACAATAACAGTGCACCGCTACAGGAAGTGCACGGACCACGGAGCAACCTGCCTCATCCCTGAGAGTCTAGATGCAACTTGTCGAGTTTTCGGCATGAAGCAGTGTCTTGTCTCAGTCGTTTACATTGATTCCGAGTTTTTGCAAGACTCTGCAATTACTTAGTTGTGCGGGAGATTGGCTCCTGCCGCTGGAAAGCCCCCTCCCAAACGTTTCGAGGGCCTCCACACGACGTCAGATCTTGACAGGACACGCAAGCCCACAGCGGCACCCTGCATCCCGTAGAATGTGTAAATGCAGTCCAGATCTCTTTATATTCCAGCCCTCCCGTGCGATCACGGCAAAACGCTTTGGATGAGTATTTGCAAGCTCCATGAAGCAAATCCCGATAGAAATCGTCTCTGACCACATGCATCCACATGCCACCTCAACAAAGGCATCGACAAGAGCCTCCTGAACACGTTCTGTGCACTTTCTCCTTTGCCCAGCACCCACTCCTCCCACCCCCCGGGCCCGTTTTAACACAGAGGTGGGGACTGGGCGCCGAGCCTATTTGGGCTCCAAGAAGTTTGTCCAGTCTAGTCGCCACTTTCAAAACCCAACGCTGCTTCAGCAAATCTTCAGATTAAAAATGATGAAAATTTAAGAAACGATCTTCGTTTCAAGGCTCAGCCCACGAAATTTGGCAATGAGTCGTGCCGCCCTCTCGAATGGCAGAAGACCCGCGCCAGCCATCTGAAATGTTGGACTTCAAAAAGCTTCCGGAGTCGGTGTGACAGGGCTTAGGCTTCCTGCTTTCTTGTGGATCTTTCATACCCTCAAGAAGCGCCACGAAAATCGGGGAGGACACCGCAGAGAACCCGTCCCCACTTTCAAGAGGCGGCCACACTTCGGGAGAGGCAGAGCAGGCAAAGCGGGTGCACCCCCACCTCGGCCTCTGCGTCTCCGAAGCCGGAGTTTGTCAGGTTCAGCTGCCGCAGGCGGCTCCAGGGCAGCGCGCGCACCAGGGCCTGGCGCGAACAAACCAACAAAAAGAAGGGGCCTGAAAAGGGCTTATTCGTGCTTACAGAAAATGAGGGAGGCTCGGGGCATGCTCTGTAGGGGGCGCGCGCTCTCCTGCCTGGAAGGCCTCGCCGGTCAGCTCGCTCCTGGCCACTTCCACCACCTCCACCCGCTCGTAGTGCGGCAGCGCCCGGGCCAGCACCTGCACCTGGGCTTCGGGCAGATGCCCCAGATTCAGTGCCGTGGCCTCGGCCGCCTTCTCCCGAAAGACCTTGGCCTGGAGTTGCAGCACCGGCTCCAGGTCCGACCGGTGCGTGAACTTCAGGGTCCCCCTCTCCGCTTGGGCGCGGAACTCCGAGGGCGCCATGGGCGCCTCGCAGTTCCGGCCTTCGCGGAAGGGGATCCTGATGCTCTTCCAGGAGGCTTTCCGCGCCAGTGACCACTGGATCTCCGCCATGCACCAGCCGCGCTCCCGGTACGGCGTGCTGTTCCGGTGCAGCTGCCGACAGGGCGGGCGGCAGCCCAAGTGGCATCCCGGCCCGCAGCTGCCTGTCTCGTCCGTGTCGCGCAGATCGGCCAGCGCCACCTCCGCCACGGCGTTCTTGGGGAGGTAGAAGACCTTAGCGGTCCCGGACAGCTCGGGCCCGGGCCGGTCGTGGAGGCCCGGCGTCAGGTCCTCGATCCTTAGCGACCAGGTATGGTCATGGGCGTACAACAGGTGCATGTGGGCCATGCCCTTCGCGAAGTAGACGTCCTGACGGAAGCGCATCTGTAGGCATCGCAGGCCCTCATGTCCCCACGACCCCCCCCCCTCAAGAGAAAGCAACGCAGAAAATGGCACAAAAACGACGCATGGCTCAACTCTACGCTCAGCCCTGTCCAAGCCCATCCTGCTCTTCAGTTCTTGGGAATTGGTACAGCGACATGTAATCCACAAAGATGGCCGCCTGGCACGTGTCCGCATTTGGCGCTGCACTTTACTCACATGCATCTAGCCATGATCTGAAAGGCTTCTTAGGGGTGTGGAGGCAGCAGGCAACAAGCTGCTCTCAGCTGTTCAAAGATCGGCTTTTTGGGAGCCTCAGGGCATCTCAGGGCTCCACTCGCACATGCGAAATGACCTTCCCTACCTTGAAAAAAATGTGTTCCGAGCAGTGACCAGTTGCGCCTCCCAGTCCTTGGCGAGGTTCTGGGCGGGGGCGATCTTCTGCAGGATCTTCGCGAAGGTGTCCAGTGCTTCTACAAGCACTCGCAGCCTCACTGCAGCGGAAAGTGACAACAGAAGAGGAACTAGTCTCTTCAAAATCAGACAAAGGGATGGCTACTGCACACAGTTTACAGTTACAGATTGCGAACCTGAGCCACTGAGCTGGGGCTCCCTGCTGGAACCTGGCCACGTCCGGGATCTCGCGGCTTTCCCACGAGTGAGAGAGTGCCATGACCGAGAAGCGGTGGGTTAAACCCTCCTGGCCGCCCGGCAGCTTCGCCTCCAGCTCCTCCTGGGCCAGCAGGGCCGGGCGGCCGTCCTTCGTCCGCATGCCCTCGGCTTCCTGGCGCCGGGGCATGGTGCGGCCCTCGGCCAGGAGCTCCCGGAGGAAGTCGGCGCGGACGAGCCGCACCTTGGCATCCCGGCAGTACGCCAGCAGGCCGTCCTCGTCCCGCAGGCTGTAGACGGCTGCCTGCGCAGCCTGCGCAGGCGCGGCGAGCTTGCCAAGCTTGGGGTACTCAAAGTCTCAAAGTAGCGAGCGCGTGACGTGAAGCGATGTTGCGATGATCTCTGGAGACTTGGTTTTTGGGCATCCATTCACGACGTGACTGAGCTACACGCTCAGCATGAACACGAACACTTGCTGCTAGAAGCACCACAATTTGGTCGGAGCGACTCTCCCAGACAAGTAGACGGCGTACAGTAGCAGCTTGAAGGGGGCGCGTCTGCGAAGAAACCCTCAAGAGAAGCCGCGTGGCCTCGGCTTTGGACTCCGGCTCCTATGACGCTCTCCAAAGCTGCTCTCTGCAACCCACTTGCAGCGCACACATCCCCGATACTGCGCCGCAGCCACTATAAACCCAGAACCGCCCTTCGTCCTCCTTGGCGGGCTCGAAGGGCTCTGCGGCTTTCTTGGCGATAAAACGTAGAACCGGGTCCTGCACCAAACTGCTCACACAGAGGTCAGGGAAGCCCTGACTATGAACTCTCCAACGTGCCCAGCATCTGCAAACCCTGGCGCACATCGCATGTGTTCCTTGGCCTGGTGTCCGGAGCCAGAGTCAGGGGGAAATGCAGCCAAAGTTTGCTGCTGTCATTCTGAGGTTGAAGGCTCAAAAAAACATAGCCTTTCAATCTGTGCTTGCGACCAGAATCCCACCAAACTGTTGGTGTATGTGAGAACAGCCCTCAGAAGGCCGAGGCGAGGCGATGGCTTTGTTTTTGGGGAAAATGCTATTTGCTGGGCCTGTTGTCGCTTTTTGGAGGCCCATAAACCTATGAAACCTATAAACCCTATCATGTTGCCTAAAATCTTCCCTTCGTATACCCTCAATATTCCCTGCAAAACCCCATAGTCCCTAAATCCCCTAAATGCACCTAAGAGCCCGAAACCACCGAACCTCAAGCGCCGCAAGTTCGCACTGGACATGCTCCCACTGGCCTGACCCCTAGATCTCCAGAAGAAAGCGCCAATGCCAGGACAGCGGCAACCTAGGAACATATTATCGAGAGGGCTCACGGTGGTTAAGGTGGTTGAGGGAGGCCCTGACGCGTATTCCTGCATTTCCTGTGCACGCATCACTCTTGACAAAACCCAATACTGTAAGTATGTCAGCCTCAAAAACATATGCTATAGACATAACCTTTAAAAGCCCAAGACAGGCCTAATGGTCACAACCCTAAACCCTAAACCCTCAACCCTAAACTCTAAACCCTGAACCCTAAACCCCAAACCCAGCAAAATCACAACTCCCCTTCGCCGGGTTCAGTGTTTGTGAGACTTCGGCCTAAACCCTGAAGCCCTTCAGCCCTGAAACCCTAAAGCAATCCTCAAGCCCGAAACGCACAGCCCCCAAAAACCCTAAACCCGAGACCTTAAACCCTAAACCCCCAAAAACCCTAAGCACTTGAAGCTGCTCGAACCTTCGAGGGGAGACGAAGCTTGGCTTTAAGGATTTCAGGGGGCTTCAGGAACCTTGTTTAGGGGCTTCAGGGGCTTCTTGTTAGGTGTCCTGATGATGTCCTTCCACAGGAAACAGCTCTCAATCGAATCTGCATCCTGACCTGTAGGTTTAGTGAGTGGACATGGGGAACTATATCCCTGTTGGGAGAACAAAAGAACGATGCAGGTGTCAGGGGTGACAAGGGGACAGGGTGCAATGTGCCCTCATGAAGCCGCTCACGTTCTGATACCTCTTTCTGTGCCAATCCTTAAACCCCAAAAGGCAAAACCCTAAATCCAACAAACCCAAACAAAAAACGCAGCTGTTCGAAAACTCCCAAGACAAGTCCCCAAGATCCGAACCCTGAAGTTGCCCAGGTGTGCGCTGCTTGGGCAGCAACCTCACCCCAAAACACAGCAGGGAAGCATAAAGGGTCTTGTTGGGTATATACATATAGGGTATGGTAAAAGAAAAAAAAATATATATATATATATATATATATATATATGCATATATAGATATAGATATAGATATAGATATAGATATAGATATAGATATAGATATAGATATAGATATCCGCCGACCCCAGCAACAGCGGGGCGGCGTCAGTGAAGACCCTCTGTTTGTTTCCCCCCGCCACACCCCACCGATTAGAAACCCACCCCTCCCCCAACCTCCCCCCAAACCCCCCTGCCCTACCCCCCGACCCCCCCCCTCCGCCTATACCCTCCCTCGCCGAGGAGGCAATATTGGAAATGCTTCCAGCACACGCCCGCCCTCCCTCCCCCCACGCCCGCCGACACCCACCCCCCCAGCCTCCCCCTTTCGCCCCCCCAACCCCTCACCCCCCCTGCCCTCCTCCACCCAGGCCCCCCCCCTCCCCACGCTCTCCCCTCCCCTCAGCACCGCCCTCGTCAACCCCCCCCCCCCATGACCCTACCCCACCCCCCCCTGCCTCCACCCCCCCTCCACGCCCCACCGCCTCCCAACCCCCTACACCCAACCCCTACCACCCCCCCCCTGCCTCCACCCTCCCCCCACCAGCCACGCCCCTCACATCCCCCACAGACCTACCCCTACCCGCTACCCCTCCGGCTCACACCGCCCTCCCTGACCCCCCATCCCAAACCCACCCCCCCCCTGCCCTGCCTAAAGGCGCCGATCAGAGGACGCCCGCCCTCCCCGCCCTTCCCGCCCTTCCCGCCCCCTCCCCCACCCCCGCCTACCCTTCTCACCCCCCCACCCCCCCACCCCCCAACCCCCCACCGATTACAAACCCACCTCCCCTACCACCCCCCGTCTGCCTCCACCCCCCCCCCACATTCCACCCCCACCTATTAAAAACCCCCTCCCCCAACCCCTACGCACCCGCTACCCCTCCCCCTCAATCCCTCACATACCGCCCTTCCTTACCCCCCACCCCAAACCCCCCCAGCCACCCCCCTGCCCACACTCTGTTTGTTTCCCCCCCCCCTGCCCTGACCGACAACCTCCTCCACTCCACCTCTCCGAACACTCTCTGTTTGTCCCCCCCGCCCCCCCTGACCTCCCCCCATCCCTGCCCTGACCGCAACCTCTTCCACTCTCCACTTACCCCCCTCCGTCCCCCTTACCCCCTAAGAGAAACCCACCCCCCCACCCACCCCCCCCCACCCCCTCCCCCACACCACCCCCTCCCTCCCCCCCCTCCGCCTACACCCTCCCTCGCCAATGAGGCAATGATTTAGAGGCTCCAGTACACGCCCGCCCTCCCCGCCCTTCCCGCCCTTCCCGCCCCCTCCCCCACCCCCCCCCACCCCCCCCACACCCCGCCTACCCTTCTCACCCCCCCACCCCCCAACCCCTCCTCGCCCCTCACACCCCACCGATTAGAAACCCACCTCCCCCCAACCC